TATATATATATATATGTTGAAGTGTGCAGGATGCATAGCTGGGAGTGGGGAACAACTAATTGGAGAGGAAAAGGAGGTGAAAATGGCCTTAAGGTGGGTGTGCTGTGGGTGTGCTGTACAATAAGATGGTATCATCTCTGACAGCATGGTATTGGTGCACTCAACATTCAGACTTCTGAACCCTTTGTGTACATAGTAGTTATCCAGTAGGTTACCCATGACCTATTTCTTTAGAGATGAATTCATGCTTGGACTCCAGTCAACTGTCATCAGTGACTCCAGAGTTCACTGTACATAGACCATGAATCCAGTATTCACTACAAGTCCCAGCATTTCTCATGTGTGTATCTTTAGTTTCTGAAGTACCACAGGTGAATGTATATACCACTGGTGTATATTGTTTCTGTAGAACTGTAAAGTGTCATTTAGCATGAATAGCAACGCAACGCACCAGCATGCAGCGCAAAACACTGTGCAATAGTGTGCTCTACACATACAGGTACTAAGGTGTGAACCAGCCCTGACATCAGGACTAAAAGTACCAGCATACCCACTCCCTTGTGGTCCCCCATCTTGATTAACAGACCCTCATATCCTCGCATTGTCTACTATGTGTGCGGTTACATGTTATGTATTCAACACTCACCCTTGTCTCCTATAGAGATATGTGCCTGTTTACTCCAATCCACATCAGATTTTGTTCATCGAATCCTCACCCTGATCTCTTCTATGCGCAGAACAAGCATGTTTTCTATTAAATATAACTGCTAAGAAAAATAATCATTCACATAATTATCAGCTAGATGAAGCAAACGTTGACTCACCTTGATTTGTATCCTCTTGGAGGTGTTCCTCATTCTGTTCATTTAAGTCACCAAATGGAGCATTAGGATGAAAAAGGGCATGCAAGACTGCTGCATCGTTTGGAGTACACATTATGAATTTCTTCTAGTGCGACTGAGGATGGAACCATACAGAGATACTTATTTCATTGACATGGGGAGGGGCAGGAACAACCAATAGAACAGAGGGGTGGAGGTGGCTTTTGACCAGATGCTACTCACAGCTGGTTTTGTTTAACCCGAAAAAGAAAAAAAAAAATGACTGTATAAAGTATTGCAGTCCTATGCTCATCCCACCACTTCTTCGCTTAAATCCCTTTCCCTGCAAGATACGTTTTTGCATTTTTTTCACGCATGTTAAAATCCACATTTTAGGTGTGAGAATTACTTAAACCCCCCTCCCCCCGAAAATTATCAAATCCAAAACTTCAATAAAAAAACTCACTTAAGTTACTATATTACTCATTTTTTTGTGAAGTATAAAAGAGGAGCTTGTGCGGAGTAAATAGATACCCAATATGCCAAGCTTACAAATTCACATGCGCCCATTAAACGGCAAAAAAATACTGTACCCTAAATGGTCTATAGGCGAAGCTTTAAAAGCCTGTACAGGTCATCAGTTTAGCGTTAACTGTGAATATTGGCCCCCGAATTATTGCTCTCACTCTGGCACACACGACGATACCTAATGTGTGTGGTGCAATCATTATTCCAGTGTGTGATCTCAATATTATTATTGTGCACCAGCATAGGGTGTCCATTCCTTTAAAGACTCATTTTATTTAAGTGTGTATGTCATATGTTATGTGGCTAATGCTGTGTTTTATATTCAATTTGGTGTAATCGTGGGTTTATTAAAGCTCCTTAAATTGGGAGTGACAATATAATAATGCATTAAGTAAAGCTCTTCAAACTTGGGAAGTAACAGCATAATACAATGGCGCTGCATGAGTCACACAGACATAGTTGAGAAGCTGTGTGTTATGTCACAGAATGGGGTTCACAAACATGGATTTGTTTGAACACAGTCAAATAATAATGAATATGGCCTTCTAGAGAGCAGCTTTTGGGTTCCAGTAATATGATAAAGCCAACACATGGAACTTCAAAGATCACAGAATGAACATGGTGCAGTTTCAGTTTATGATGGATTCGCACCCTATTTTTGAGAAAGGGTTACCAATGTGTGTTTTATTTTGTTAATTTCTTCTTTCTGCAATCAGGTCTGGTTATGGGGGGAAAAAATGGGAAATGTCATTGTGCCCGTACATTCTTAAGGATCGAAGAATCGCATGCCACACAGTCCCAGGACCTGAATAGAGGCACTATCTACTCTATATACCTGCTATTTGTGTTGTAAATCTCTTAAAGTGATATCAATACTAGGAGGCCCACCTTTGCATTAAATGTATGTTCTTCTTCTTCTTCTTCAAAAAGGTTTCTCTTCCTCGTTCTCTAGTGGGTCCCAGCACCCAACAGTTTAATTGATGGCAGAGGTGCCTATGGCCCCTCTACCATCAGTATAATTAAAAGTGTATAAAGCAACAAATGCCAGCACTACACACCCCCAACCAGTTACAACCTCTCACATGTTTCACCCGCAGGCTTATTGATAGACCTCTATGAACAAGCCTGCGGGTGAAACATGTGAGAGGTTGTAACTGATTGGGGGTGTGCAGTGCTGGCATTTGTTGCTTTATACACTTTTTTCACTGTTGTACTGGATTTGCCGTGGATTTTAATGAGGTCTGAAGTATTGGAGTTCTCTGTGCTAGTGCAGTCTGTTCGTATACTACCCTGCCTTTAATGCTACTTTAACTCCTACAGGTGAAACTCGAATAATTAGAATATCGTGCAAAGTTCATTTATTTCACTAATGCAACTTAAAAGGTGAAACTAATATATGAGATAGACTCATTACATGCAAAGCAAGATAGTTCAAGCCGTGATTTGTCATACTTGTGATGATTATGGCTTACAGCTCA